TCTCTCTCTCTCTCTCCCTCCCTCTCTCTCCTTCCCCCTCCCCTCCCCTCCTATCCTCTCCTGTCCCCCGGTTCCGATGTATCTCGTCGTCGTGTTCCGCAGAACGCTAAACGCCGCGCACGGGACCACTCCGATTCATCAGTCCCGCGTTCGCCAATCAAGGAGCCGACCTAGCCAAGGTTCCTCGAACATCCTCGCTCGACCAGACGGGCTATAAAGATCAAACACGAGTCCATCGGGTGAGTGATTTGCAGGAAACGCGCCGTTGGTTCGCGACTTTTTGGGAACTTGAAAAACTTATTTAATTTTGAAGCTGATAAATCTAAAGGCGAGAAACGCGCACAATTAATATAGCAATACAGTAGCCTTTTCGCGAGAGATTACTTACTTGTGATACGTTTTTAAAATTGAAGATGCTTCCATCGGAATATTATATTTTTTTTTTTTATATTTGTTCATTCGTTATTTGTCGTAGAGTCATTATGTCGTAATATCGGAATGAATATCTGTCGTCAAGCCAGGTCACATTTGCTTCCACGTTTGCGCTCGACGGTTAACGGATCGATTCAACGTGGTTTTGACATTTGCGACTGTCATATTTATTGTCCCGTTGAAGCCATCGTTAGCTAAGGATAAACACAACGATAATTATATTTGGTGATTGTAACATTGTATTTTCTCTAAACGAAATTGATTTTATGATGAGAATCTTTTGCTTTGACAGCATTTTGATTATTTTTTTTTTTTTCTTAAACAACGTTAATCGTATTTGTGGATACAACTAGCAACATGTCTTTGCGACACGTTTAAAAGCTTGATTCTTCAAAGGTCTTAAGGTCTTAGTTTTATATATATGTTTCGATTTACTCGGGTCGTCACGGCTGTTCGTGGCAAGTTTATCAGCTGTCGCATTAAATTAATCGATAATTCACACGGACAGGCTAGTTTGCTGTCAGCGAATTAATATAATATAACACGACACCGTAATCACGCGTCCAATCAGAGTGGACGATTCGAAACGCGATTGGACTCTTCGAGAAGCGAAGCTCGTGCTCCAAGAAGGCTTTTCCATTCTTTATCAGATAGAAAAATAGATCTAATGTTTAGAAGTGTCGATACTCAAGATATTCAAGATTACAATAATTATAATAATTGACAAGTTACCGAGTTGTCCAAACCCAAGAAAGCGAGAAAGAAAATTTCTTTTATTTCGCTTGTCTATTTTTTAAATACTACAATTAAATAACATTTTATATTATCTTATTTCATAAACCTCGCACGTTAATTAATTGAAACAATTGAGACAAAACGATTTCCACGTTTCTATAAAGTACAACAATGGCAGATGGGATCTAACGACCATCTCGGATTCTATATAAACGCATAAATGATATTTCCGTGCGTTTGTATACGCAGATATATACATGTACCGTTTACCGATTTGTATTCCGTCTCTGCCAATGGCCCGTAACCTTCGTTATTCGCGTGTACCAAGTAAGAGTCTATTCAGTGAATTGGCGCGTGGATATCTAAGGACGGTTGCTTCGAGCAACGACCAAGATTTAGGGCACGGTATCTCTCTCGACGCATGTACACGCATACATTTATACGCGCGTATAAATATATGGAACTTATGGTGGTACTACGTATTAGCATAGCAAAAGTAATTCGTACTTAGCGTTATCACTCGCGAACTAGATTTTATGCTAGATCCAATGACTCGGATAGAAAAGGACATCATGATGGCAAATGAAGCTTATACATTCCCCCGTTTTCCGGGGGGGGGGAGGAAAACTCGTTAAGGACAGATGTATAAAAAACAGTTTAAATAAATCATCCTAATATATAAAAGTCAGGAAGTTTCAATCGCGCTCTTTGTATGGTTATCCTATTTATATCTGTTCTGAAGGAAAGAAGTACAGAAATCGTCGGTATCTCTCAGGGATTATCGAACTATCTAACTGCAATTGCAGCTGCAGCTGCCTGAAGCTGCGAACTATTACAAAATTAAATTACAGCCAAATGCGCGCAGTTTTCTGTTGCTGCTATTAGCGATGTGTGACATCACGATCACGTAATGCAGACGACTGCCGGTTATACACAGGGAGACAAGATAAATAGATAAAATCTTCACAGAAAACGCATAGCGATCCAGACAAGCACGCCCGTAAACGAGTTGTACAGCTTACAGTTACCATAAACATTGAGTCAAAGTTGAGCAAAATTTAATTAAATTTGACTCTCCGGCTATTTCCAACGTGTAAAAAGGAGAATTCTCGGTTAAACTTCGGGTAGACTTTCGTGACAGACTCTTGTAGAGACGAGCTCTGTGGTTGTGTGGTTACGTGGTAATTTCGCTTCGTGAGAAAGAAGGAAAAGGCGGCCTTCGTTGCGGGCTTTAAGAGTGACACGGCCGTGTATATATGATGTCAGTCCGCATCATCGGGGCGAAAAGTAGGTCTAGGGAATCAGCTGGCCGAAAGAGGCGCGTGCGCCATCCGAAACGCCCACCTAGCGATCGTGCTCCTGGAAACAGCGATTTCGTAAGAGATAAGAAACAACCGCACACGCACACGCACACACACACACACACACACACACACACACACACACACACACACACGAGACAACACGTA